TACTATTAGAGATTGCAAAATGTACGAAATAGTAACACACCATACGATGCGAAAGAATTGGGAATGAAAAAGAGTACTTCTTGTTAGAGAGTTTGCAGAGAATGATGAAGAAAAATTCAATATTAATAAAAAATATTTTAATTTTAAAAAAATAAATGTGCAAAAAAAAGAAATCTTACAAGAAACGTCATTTCCTATTTTCTTCCTGTTTTCTTATTCTTTCACAAATTTCATTAATTCATTTCCTTCATTTAATTCCTGCTTCTTTTAAGCGCCCATTGATCTATCAATTATGCCTGAAAATGGCGTAAAGTTCTATCTAATCTTTCATCATTTTTCCTTTATCATTTATCATTTAACCATTTAATCTCTCTCATTTGTTAATCCTTATCATCTATTCTTTTATCACTTTTCTTTTATCATTTATCATTTGACCTCTTTGATTTAATCTCTATCATTCGTTAATCTTTATCATTTAATCTTTTATCACTTTTCTTTTATCATTTATCATTTAACCATTTAATCTCTCTCATTTGTTAATCTTTATCATTTAATCTTTTATCATTTTCTTTTATCGAAGTAGCATTCTTTCTTTCCTCATTATTAAAACATTTGGTTTTCTCATTACACCTGTTTTTTTTTCTTTGATTTTTCTCATTTTCACCTGGTTTTTTTCATCACCTGGTTTTTCCCATTTTTCTTTCTTTATTATTAAAACACCTGCTGCTTTTATTTGTTTTAATCTTTTCCCTTTTTATCCTTTTTTTTTTCTTTCAAATTTATTTTACATCTGGCGTCAGTTGTATATTTTATTCAAAATAACTCATACAATGATCATTCACCGTTATAATTCTTATTCTTTCATTATTTCCCTCTTTTATCTTGCATATATTACGCTCTTCTTAACATTAGATCAAGTTTTCCTAATCAATTAAGAATCTATCATTCATAATCTCTCTCTCTCTCTCGTTCTCTCTCTTCCTCTCACCCTTCTCTTTTTCTTTCTCTCTATCACTTATTCTTATCATTTTGATTATCTTCAATGCACGTAATTCGCATTTCATGATCTCTTTAACTCTCTCTCTTTATCAGTTAATTTTATCATTTTGATCATCTTCTATGTTTATATTCGTTAACTTACCACCTGATGCATTATTCTTCATGAATTTTGTGCCATTTTTTTCTCTTTTTTTCCTTTTCATAATCCATACATAGCTGACTAAATGACCAAATGTTTACCAATAGCTCCTGCATTAGCATCTAAATGTCCATTTACGTGTGACCAACAGTATATAAACTGAATAAGTTGGATTCCCAAGAAAGAAATTTATTTTAAAAAGTTTAAATCATCTATTACGATTTGTATTTTCCCTATGCCACCTCACTTCATTGCTTAATTAAATTAAATAATTAGCTAATCGAATATTATTAATTCCTTCATACAAACATAAAATCATGCCGTTTTTTTTCTTCGTTTAATTAAAATTGTGCAACTCAAAAAGAACAGAAAAAATAACAATAATATAAAATTGGCCATAGCTCAGATATAAATGAAAAATTTTGTTGTGTTTATCAATTTTGTATAAATTATTTTAGGAGAAAAAAAAATTTTTTAAAATTTTTTTCATTTCTCCTTCGATAAATGTGCTGGATGAAAATTTTCTGTCATAGCATCATCAACATCATTATCATCATTATCACCATTATTATCATCATCATCACCATCACCATCATCATCATCACCATCATCATCATCATTATTATCATCTTTGCCGTTCTTTTAATTGCATTTTTTCCACTTCTCGAGCAAATCTTTTTTATCAATATTAATTCAATTTATATAATCCTTTAATGCAACAAAGTGTTAATCAATTCCAAAAATTATTTAAAGTTAATAAATTCGAATAACTTTTTTTCTAAACTTATTTTAATTTGCTGGCATAATTACTACACATAGAGGAATTTGCTCGGTTGTTTTCTCTCTTTTTTTTTTTTTTTTTTTTTTTTGTTTTGTTTTGTTTTAATCCACAAGAAATGAAGTGAATCTGTTGGATAACTAAAAGGATAGATAGCAAATATAACGATAATATTATCAAAATATTGATGAATCAAATTTGAATAGAAGAAATGGATATTCATTCTCGAAATTTATTCTAATTAGGAATTTTAAATTCCAATTAAACTTGAATTTCAAGTGAATGAACAAGTAAATCAATGGAGGAAATGAAAACACTGAATTTACACATGAAATGATTAACTGAATATGGAAAACTAAATATTATTATCAAAATTGATTAAATCTACATTCAAACATTTGCCAGTGCTTTAGAAACTATGTTTATGTATAAAAAATTAAAAACCAAAAGTGGAGATTGTATTTGAGTACTATTGTACACAAGTATTCCAGCACAATCGTATACAAGCATTGTATAAGATAACAGTGTATTGAAATTATGCGAAATAAATTATAATTAATTAGGCTATATGCAATTACAAAAACGCAAATTTCTTTACTATTTAATTATTTTTTTTTATTTCTAAAAAAAAAAAGCACCGAATATGAAGTTTTCGATATCCAATATCATCGTCTTATTTGTTTCCTTCTTTTCTTATCATTTCTATTACTTCTCATCATTATTGTAATTTTTAAAAAATTGATCAAATAAAGGAAATTGTTTTTCTTTTCATTAATTACTTTTAATTAACAGGTAATGAAAGTGATATCATTCATATAAATTAAAGCCTTCCAATAATATCTTCAAAAAACAACTTCCTTTTCCTTTTTTGTTTTCAATTAATTCATTATCAATCAAATATATTAGGAAATTTTGAAACGATCATTTTATTGAAGAAATCTAAAATTGAAAAACACACTTAATGTGGAATTATTCAAATTAAATTATACTTCATCTTAGGAATATTTTATTAAACGGAAGTCTTTTCATATATTTATATCTTATTCTTTCATATTTTATTCTATATTTTATAGTATAGTACAGTCATAAAATAATAATGATAATATGTAATAATAAAGATAACGATGATAGCATGTAATGATAAAAGTGTAACAATGATAATATGTAATGATAAATAAATATGAATATGTAGTGAATGGATATAATGAATGAATATGTAGTGATTCATTTCGCTCCATTTTATTTTATTTCATTTCATTTCATTTTATTTTATTTCATTTCATTTCATTTTATTTTATTTTATTTTATTTTATTTTATTTTATTTCATTTTGTTTTATTTTATTTTATTTTATTTTATTTTATTTTGTTTTGTTTTATTTTATTTTATTTTATTTTACTTTATTTTATTTTATTTTGTTTTATTTTATTTTATTTTATTTTATTTCAACATGCAAAAAAAAAAGAAAACAGGAAAAAACAAAAAAGATATTAATTTGAAATAAACTTAACAAATTTTGATAGCAATTTAAGCTTAGTTTGCTAATTTCTTCAACGATTAACAATGTATAAAAGTGTAAGTAATTATAACAGTTTGGTAATTATTAATTTACAAAAGAAGTTCATCATTTCGAATTTTTTTTTTTTTTGAAAAGGAAATAGAAAGAATAGCATCATATTAAATTAGCCTCAATCATTTGTCAGATTCATTGCTCTTAAGTCCTCATTATTTTAGCTACTCATTAAGTTAGATTATTTATCAGCTTGATTGTGATTGCTTATTTTGTTCATT